TTTCTCTTTTAATTTTAAGTTTAATGGAAGAAAAATCATAAATGTAAGTAGGGACAGACCAGATCACCTTTAAATATCCTATCAATGAAAATTTTATTGATTGAGGCTTCATATAACAAATCTTTTCTTGATTCTGTATAAGTGAAGTTGATGGAAACTTTTTTGAAATAAGCAAATAACATAATGCATGAGGGACCATCCTTGGAATTATTAAAAGTAAGAGTCCCTCTAATGCAAAATCCGACTAAAGATTCGTCATTCGCAAAAGGTACTCTGATCAATGTTCTAAAAGACGTAAGATGTAGAGGTCAAAACTCGAAAGTCCTATTAACTTAAAGAGAAAATTTATAGAAATTTCATAAATATTTTTCAAGTTTCCAATAAAAACATAATTTTTAAAATCATAAATATTTCAAATCAGTAATGCTTTGTTCGTTGATTGAGAAAGCTATATTCATGGATTGACTTTAGGCTATCATGAAATATATTTAGGACATAATTTCACCATATATAAAACTAGAACGTTCAATGTACGTCGTAGACTCGTGCATACCATTTTCTTCTCTAGTTTTCTCTTTTATATACATTCGACGACGGACTGACAACGACATCTTCTTTTCCCTTCTTGTCTGTGTGCAATTTTCTTCGCTATGCTGGAAAATGAACGCGCAAGTTTTCTATATAATTGCATTGCAAGTTAATTCTTTTTTCCTTTTTGCATTATTTTATTTTCAATACAACTTTTTCACAATACGACTTTTTTTATTTCATAAAGTTGGATCAAACTCAACAATATATTACTCTATAAGTAATACAGTTTTTGTTGGAACTAATGGTTTAATATATCTTCTATATATTAAAAGTGGCTATGTAACGAAATTTCTTGTTCTTAACGAAAAAATAATGGAATTTGTTGTTTTAACGGATTATGTAACGGAATTTCTTATTTTAAACAGGCAGATGCACCTTCCTTTAGTGTTTTTATCATAACTTTGTATTCCGATATCCGATTTAGGCGATTCAAAATGCATTAGAAAGCTAACTCATCTGGCTACAACTTTGATTCAAACATCGTTCTCCAATTCGATCTAAAGCCAAAAATAGGTCTCAATATGAGACTAAAACATAGGAGCATAACTTTTCGGTTGGATATAGATTTGTGATCATCTTTTAACTAAATTTGATTTCATTGACGTCTTTCTTTATCCAATTGACTCCGAGTACTCTCAAATCTTTATCGTGAGGGTCGGCACAACTTTTAAATATTTACATTTTAGTCCCTGAACTTTGGATCCCTTACAATTTAGCCATTTCTCCAAATTTGTCAACTTTTGCTTGTTTTTTTCGATCTCACCAACTCACATCACAACATCAAAATCACACATCTAATTATTTAACAATTACATAAACATTACATCATTAATTATTTAATTAACCAAAAAAATTACATCAATATTAATAACAAATTAATTATTAAACAAAACTATTAAATATAAACTAGGCGAACGTGCATTGTACATTGCTTGCACCTAGTAGGATTTAAATGTGTGAATTGAAAAAATCTTCAATGGATGCAATTACTAGACATGACTCTTCAATTGCAAATTGTGTATATTAAAGAGTCACATTATTTGGGAATGTGTGTGACATTTAGTATTCGATATCTTCCATTATAGAAGAGTACAGTCAAGCGTTGATTCGCCCGACAAAATTAATACCATGCTTTATCAATTTTTGAAGAAGCGCTGTAAGACTGAGATGTCCATTAGATACTGTTAGTACTAGTATAGGAGGCAAAATCCGTTTTAAAGAAATTTGCATTTGCATACCTTGCTTGATTTCATCCCCTTATAATTTCTACATGCCAGTAAGTTGATATTTGTGTGCATATCTTGATTTCGGTAAGTCGTTACTCTTTCGTATTTGCATGCACGTATATTTTATTATCGAAATATAAATTATGCATCAATTTATCCAAGTAAAACGAACTATTAACAATTTTAATATGTAATCTTATATTTAATTCTTTATTATATGACAACAATATTTTTTTTCTAAGTTTTTTACTACCTTAACTTTTGTTCAATTAAATTTTTAACTAGTTTTTATTTCCCCCTTAATCATGCATATTGACTTGTAGCTCGACAACCGACGAGCAACAACAAAAACGTCACTAACATTAGTACAATTGGATAAAATTATAAATTAAAATTATTAATTTTATAATAAAGCATTATCAACAGCATTTATTACGGTTGTGACTGCTTTGACAATTATAATAATTTTTGGAAAAATATTAATCCTAATTATTACTACATCCGTCCCATTTATATAGACTGATTTTCCTTATCTTCTTATTCCAATTATATAGTCTTGTTTCTTTATTGAAAATGTTTTATTTGGTTCATTTACTAACATACCCTTTTTTAATTATTTCCAATAATAATTTACTACTAGTTGTTGATAATTAAATAAGGGTAAATCAGTAAAGTTAAAATTTATTTTTTAATAACATTGAATAAGATTTCTTAATCCGTATAAAAAATAAAATCGGCCTATATAAATGGGATAGAAGGAATAATTAAAGAATAATGCTACTTGCAATCACTCACTGCCGCAGTCGTCCTATGTGGCATACACATGTCAAGTGTGTATTTGATGCATTAAATGTGGTAAAAAACTACCACATTAATGTATCAAATAATTACATGTCATGTGTGTGCCACATAGGACGACTACTGCAGTGAGCGACTGCAAGTAGCATTACTCATAATTAAACTTAATCACAACACGTGGCAGAACTTTAACGAAGATTGAGAATTTTAATCTCGATTTTTAGCCCTATCTGTTACCTAATTTTCTCTGCTTATTGTATAAGCATAATCTTTTAGAGTCAACCAAATCATCGAAGATTATGAAATATGCCTAGGTGTCAAAGTGTTAATGGGCAAGTTATTCCAACCTTTTTTCCCTTTTTTTTCTCACTAAATTATTTCAATAAAAAAAATATTTTCAACTTTTTTGTAAAAAATTTTGTAATTCAACATATTTCATACTTTTTAACTATACGTTCTCCAAAAATTTATTATTCAAACAAAAAGTTTCAAATAATAATAATAATAATAATAATAATAATAATAACCACCAAACTGGGGCTTAATATCCATGCAGTACAAGAAATATTGCTCGAAAAGGATGGAATACGTTGATATAGGTCTTTAACAATGTGCATATGCACATTGCGGTATTCGATGTTACTTTTAGAGCAGACATATATGACAACATAATAAATGAATGTCAATAAAGATTGAAAAGTGCGTTGTCGTTAATGTCTTAGCAACACGGATTTGAATGTTGCAGTTAATGATTTAACGACGTGCATTTGCAATATACAACGAACGTTGCAAAATGATACATTAGCAACCTACGACTATATATACATTCACCGCCTGTTGTGATAAATCCTTTTCAGCAAATTTGTTAATAAATATTGTTGTTTATACATTGGAAAATGCCTTTTTATGTTTTGAAGACAAATCGATAATCAAACATCATATTTTTATAGAAACTAACAGCATGTTTGAGCCCCATTTTTTTTTTTCCAGAATGTATTTTGAAATAGTATTTTGATAGAGAATCTGTGATTAAAAAATTTAAAAAAAAATTTGGGATTTGTGTGTAATATTATTTTATTGAAAAATATATGGTTAAAAATACGAGAGAAAAATTTATTCTGGAAATCCAAACAAGTGCTAAACAATATAACATAATAAACAATTCATAGAGGGTATGAATGAAGACATCACTATTACGAAGTATATTATAATAAATTTAGTTAATTAATCAATTATTTATAAATAAGTTAAAATAATTGGTTGATTTTAAAAATATTAGATATGAAAGTTCTTCTTTCCAATGGGATGTACCTAATTAATTAATTAAATATTCATGTCTATTATAATTAATTGGCTTCTTAAAAAACACTACAAATGACAAAATTAAATACTACAAGCCACAAGTTCCTTAAGAACTCCTACTTCTACCCAAAGAATGTTCTAAAAATGAAAGATGGCTACTGTCTTGACATCTAATGACTGTCATCTTCAAAAAATTATAGTATTTCGAGCACGCAATTTACACGAGAAAAGTGCATTAACAATGACGGAATATTGAAGAATGGAGTTTTTAGTCGCCGTTAGCGATGATATTATATTTCGAAAAATGAAATACTTACAAATCAAGCCTTAACCAGAATTTAAGGGGGACAACTTCATATTCACTTTAAACACTAAGAATAAAACTATGGTTTTATGCTGTCTTACTTTTTCTAATTAACCATGCATTAGTCTAATTAACTTGGGTTAATTATTGAATTTGCCATTCCTAGTCAGCAAGATTTAAAATATGAAGGGAATTTTTGGAGAGGAAACTTTATGAAAAGTGATTTTTTTGGAAAAAAAATTATAGGTTCACAAGTAAATTTATTTTATTGAGAGAATGTACGATTGAAAATGAGTTTTAAATAATTTGTACAAAACGGGGGATAACTGTTTGGCCTCCATTTTTTAAAATTTAAATTCTTCTCAAATTTATTTTCAACAATACATTTTATGGAACCTACAAAATTTATATACCTTTCATCTGTATATTTTATCAACATTTATCAAAATTTATTAAAAATCTGGTTTTTACGGAACCAAACGGGGTTTAATATGCTTGATAATGATTGCTTTCCATCAATGATGCTAGCACAATTAAAAAAAATAATGAAATATATAAATTAATATAGTGATAGTACCATTTAAAGGAGGAAAAATAGTGTTGTCAAGGAAGAAAAGAGAGACCTAAAGCACTTTCCTTGGTCCATATCATGTCTCCTCAATACCCCATTTCCATTATTTGATTTTCCACTTGAATTTTGCTCATTTTCAATTATTCTGATTTTCCTCTCTCTTGCAAAAGAATTCATCATAGGGAAAAGAAAAATCCGAGGGAGGACGATGTCGACGTCGAACGATCAAGCAGAAGGATCTTCATCAAGAACAGCTTCTGCATCAGCTGATCATCATCATAATCAGCAGCAGCAGCAACCAGCCCAATTGAGTCGATATGAGTCCCAAAAACGTCGAGATTGGAACACTTTTGGGCAGTACTTAAGGAATCAAAGGCCACCGGTGGCTTTATCCCAGTGCAGCTATAATCATGTACTAGATTTCCTTCGATACCTCGATCAATTCGGGAAAACTAAGGTACATGTACAAGGTTGTGTCTTTTTTGGACAGGTTGAGCCAGCAGGGCCATGTACTTGTCCCCTTAGGCAAGCATGGGGTAGCCTTGATGCCCTTATCGGTCGACTCCGTGCTGCTTACGAAGAGAACGGAGGTCAACCAGAGACGAACCCTTTCGCTAGTGGTGCTATACGCGTATATCTACGCGAAGTAAGGGACTCCCAGGCGAAGGCGCGGGGAATCCCGTACAAAAAGAAGAAAAAGAAGAAGAAGAGCACCATTAATGAAGGCACCTCATCCAGCTTTCAGATGTAATTCTCCCTTCTATATTGCTTTTTCAAGAATGGTTATTTATTTATTTTCCATTTTTTACTGCTTTTTATCTTGAACTTCTACCTCGTATATGTAGTAATTTTATTTTTAATGGAGATATTTACATGTGGATCAAAAAATTTGATGTGTTTACTCTTTGATAATCAAAATCCCAGTACAAATAAGCGATTTTTTTTATTTATTATTATTTTTTTAAAAAATAATCCAATTGAGGGTATTTCATATCTTCATGTTGAACCCTAATCCAGTCCTCTTAAACCCTAATTTTCATACCCTCTTGAACCTTCTTTGCCTGTGCAAAGAATATCAATAGTATTGATGTCGGCAAGACGAATATTCTTCGAAATCTCCCTCCGAAACAGACACCTAAGTAAAGGGTTGGGGCTCAACTGACTCAGATAAATCGAACTCCAAAATAGCACAATTAGTTCTTTCTTTTATTTCTTTAAGTGAGAGGCGAAGCGCTTCATCCGGTTTATTCCAAAATTCGGTTAGGACTAACTTAGAGTGGACTTTAACTGTATGATTGGAACGCAAACGCACACGCACACGCACACCCACATTGATCGAGAAATTGTGCACATAATAAATTTTTGTGGTTTCTTGAATTTAATATTCTTTGGTATATATATTTATGTTTACTTTTGTCCAATGTTTTGTCATTTGGGATTCTGCAACATCTTGTGCTCGCCATGGATGTCCCTTCAGTATGATCGCATTACCAATATATATATATATGTAATGTGACTTATAAGTATTTAAAAATGTTCTTTTGTCTCTTCCAGAAGAGAAGGAATTCTGATTTCACATCTATGTTATTCTAATATTTACTCAATCTCAACACATGACAGTAATTTTTTCTTATAGATTTTTTTTTTAAAATTTTGAAATTTGATTTCGATTAGTAAATTAGGATATGACTTGTCATGTTGGAATTATTCATAATGTTAGAAAAAGTACTACATATAGGTCCTATTATTACAATCAGACATTGTTGTCTTTTACTTCAAAACTTTGTTCTACTCAATTGTTGTACGTTAACACACTAATGTCACCAAACTCTCATTCCATTTGATTTTTGCATATAGTTGCTTATATAGTTGTGTAATTATGTGCACATTTTTGTAACCTTTTCACTTAATTTCTTGTGCTTGTATACATGTAGTTTGGAGCTGAACTAGAAGATGATCTCAACTTATATGGGTTAGCATGCATGTATACATCTAAGGGGTAGGTGGATGGACCCTTAGGTTTATTAGGACGCTCCTTGATAGGATCTTGAAAAGCTAAAAGCTGCTTATGAGATTAAAAAAATGATTTTGAACATGTTTTGATGATTTTTTGAAAATGATTTGTTTAGTTAAAAAAGTTTTTACGTCCCATTTGACAGAACTTTTGCTTTTACTTTTACTTTTTGTATAAGAATGTATTGAGAAGGTTACTTTATAGCTAGACAAAGTACTTTCAAAAAATTATTAAGCCCATGTTTGACCCACGTTATTTTTTTCATTCTCATTCTTCTGCTTATTTTCAACCACACATTCTTCAATAAAAATAATTTTTCTTTCATTTCCAATCACATATTCCTCATCACAACACTTAAAAAAAATGCATTTTCTCATTTTAATGTGAACCAAACATGCTCTAAACATGTCTAAAATCAATACTCATTTAACTAATTTTATGAAATTATTTCTTCTAGTTAGAAAATATTTAGAGAAAACTGGTCCAATATGACTTCTTCGAAAAATAGAAAACTTTTTAAATGTTAGATATAAGACAAAAATTAAAATAGCTTCAACTCTTCCACAGAAAGGAAAAGCAAGAGTCATGTCAAATAGACCCTTAATCTCATAAGCATCTTTTGATGCACTTTAGAAGAAACTGGTCTAAAATAGTTTCCTAGAAAAACTCTTCTATAAGAAGTAGAAGTCTTGCTAAACAAGTCTTAATATGAGAATTCGTGTTTTAACAAATCATTTTCATGGGATTAATGTCACTTATTAGCATTTTTCTGTAGTACAAAATGTATATATTTTATTTGGGAAAATGCATCTCTTACTCCCATGATCTCATGTAAATTAGAAGCTTTGTTCATAAAAAATTTCCTTAAAAACTCCATCTTATCTTATCAAGTCACATTTTTTTTTCCTTCGTAATTAATATTTTTTACGAAAATTACTCCAAAAAATTTGTTTGGCAACAAAACCTTAGGTCTACCATACTTTTCGATTCTCGTCGTTGTTCAATACCTTAGGTCGACATGCATATTTGGTAATAAATACATGTCATCGAAATTATGTATCTATTTATTGTATATTTGCCCCTACTCGATATTTTCGTAGCAGGTTCTTTCGAACGTTTTCTAAGAGCAGGAGGAACCATTATAATCACCACATGTTAGAATATCATGCTTTTTAGCTTTTTGCAATACTTATTTTGGGCTTACTCTTTCGCTTTCCGCGTTATTGTTTGAAAAAGCTGTACGATTTCGTTCGTTAGTCTTGCTTAGTCATGCTCAAATCCAACGTACTAACGTACCACATGTAATGTGAGTTAGCACAAGGTTTGCAGGATCTTATGCACTCTTAGAATTTTGGATACAATGTAATAGAATTCGACCAGAATTTGACATATATAGGGGGTGTTTGATGTGGATTAAAATTAGATTTTTAGTAGATTGTAATAGAAATTTTTGAAATGTGTGATTGAAATGCCGTGGAACCTATGAAAGATATGGTTAATATTGATTTTTTTATTTTGACTTAGAATAAAATTTGATTTTAATTAGAAACAAACGGGGCCATAATAAGCCTTAGTTTGATAATTATTTATAGATATTCAAAATCCATCCACACATTTTAATGAATTCACGAGTACTATCTATTTATTCACCACTCATTTATATCTATTTATAAATTAAATGTTTCTAAGGTTGTTCAAGCGTAGTCGTACTGAACTCGAAAAAAACTAACAAATATCAACGAAATTGCACATAAAAAACCCCCCATCTTAGGACAATCATAATTTTACCTTAAAAGATCCTTATATACGATCAATTAAAGTTCTCTCAACGTTGAACAATTAACCCTACATATATATGTGTGTGTGTGTGTGTGTGTGGGTGTGGGGCCTCATTCATCTATCTTCAGTCATTAGTCTCAAACTAAATTTTGTAGTATCCAAATTACATTTTCTAACAATACTCGTTTAGCTACTCTACTAAATATTTGATAATTTGGCACGTCAACTCTTGTTAATCAGTGTGTTTTTTGTCTAGAACTTTGCATTATTTCATTTTGCTTTTATTGTTCATTCGTTTTATTAATATTTTAATGTTGCAATCAATGATATAATGCCAATAATTATCAATCCCAAGAATTAAATAAACAAAAAAATCCAATAGCTAGTGGATATTAATATCTAAACATTAACATTATGGAGACCCCACTTTGGTATTCATCTTTAATTTGTTGATTCTTTCAACTTTTCTATCACTAATCATAGACTTCATAATTAGTCTCCAATTTAGCAGCTGGAATCATCCCCACTCTACCCCCCTAAACCCCCCTCTACATATGTATAAAGATAAATGGCTGTGGTGGTAAAATTATTGTGCGCTTTGTCGCTTCTCCGGGGGTCCTGTCCGCACGTCGTAAAGGGAGGTCCATAGGGAGGAGAATTGCTTCCCAAATGTCCGTCCCAAGTGTGTATAAGCTATGATGATCGCATTCGGATTTACCCAGGTGGCGAACTAGAGGAAGATCGCCACTCCTCAAGATTAGTCGCACGAATCTCAAGACACTTGAGTCATAAAAAAAAAGGATAAATGGCTAAAAAAAATTCTCTTTTTTCTCGACAATCTCAAACTAATCAATCGAATGCCGCTTACAAAGAGCTGTTTTGTTCGGAAAATGAAATGCTTCTAGAAATTGTGCACATGTATATGTGTATGCTTGTTCGAGAAAGTTGAAAGTTCTAGTCAACGATCAAAAGATGCAAAAATTTGCGAGTGGTGGTCGTAGTAAATTTAATCCCTAGAAACATTATTGTGGTAGCTATCTAGATTTTGGAGGGACATGTACCTAGTCACACTCTTTGTCTCATTCTTGATTGTGTGCCTGTCATCATCTTTTGCCACTAATATGCCAACAAAAGGTTAATTTGTGATATTAACTTTACAGGTAATTATATTCACACGACAATTTTTAATTTGTGATATTAACTTAATTTACAGGTAATTATATTCAGACAATTTTTTATACTTGCACCACATTTTAATTACGAGAAATATTTTCAATATTTGCTCACTTTTACTTTTATATCCTCAACTATTTTCTCGTCGTATTGTCATTATGAACCTTCAATTAATTAACATATTTTGTCTCTAATCACAATTTTCGTCCAAATATTCTACTAACGTGCATTGAAAAAATGGACAGATATTTTGTTTAACTTTTATATTAATTATTTATTTTGATTATTCAAAAATACAAAAGTTAAATGTCTTTTTTGCCCTCATAACAAATATTTTGGACGAAAATTGTCTCTACAGACAAGATGTGAAGATTAATAAAAAATTGTCGATAAAAAAAAATTGAGAACTAAAGTGTAAAAATAAGAAAAGTTCAAGGATATTCATTGTAATTAAAATGTGGTAAAATTGTTGTGTGAATATATTTACTAAACTTTTTCTTCTGTGTACCCAACCCGGTATAAAGTTGACCCCCTCATTTGGAGTGTAATCACACTATAAAACCACACTAATTAAGTAATTTCCTAAAAAAGAAAAAGATATTAGTATAGATTTTGCTATTGCGAAATGCGTATCGTCAATGTCGAGTTTTATGTCCAAGATCGAACTCCTTTGCATTTGTCAGGACGACGAAAAAACTTTAATGCTTAAGTCAGTAAAAAAAATAAAATTTGTAGAAATGAATGATCAAAGAGAGATGAAGTGTTTCCAACATACTTAAAGATGATACAGCATTGTCATTGATAATTAGTTCAGAGACATTGAGAAAATAAAGAACTCAAAGTTTGCAGCCATTAGCAAATAAGAACTGAATTGAATAAACCAATTAGCTAAGCTAAAGCATATAGTTTTCATGGTTTTCATCCTAATCATGAGCATGCAAACAAACGCATAGCTTTGACACAGATACTTCAAGAATCTGGTAAGTTACCTGGAGAATTTCTGACTCTGTACAACAAAATTTCCATTCTGTTTTACAAAATTTCAGGTTTCAAGCCACCAAATTGGACTGTGTATCGAACTTTAAGCTTCTTGCAACGTTGAAAAAATGAGCAACAGCTTCCTCAGGTGTACCAACGAGAACTCTCTGGTCAAGATTGAGGATGTGGCCCTTTGTCCCTGCACATTGTACAACCCTGCAACATAAATATCATCAACTCAACTATCAGTATTTGGAAATTTGGTACTAAGGGAAACTATTTGCTTCGCAGTTTGTTCAATCGTCCCCTTTGTGTAATATAAATGCAATTGCTATTTTGATGACTCATGAATATCAGTCGATTCAATAATTAGTTGTTAACCTCACTCTGGCCACGATGACAGTTTTATATTCAAATTACAAGTCTTTATATTTTAAGCACTCAAATAGGTAAATGGCAAGCCAAAGACTCAAGTAACAAATTCCTCCCTCCCCCCCTTCTCACTAAATAAGCATGCCTGGTCGGGACCCTGCCACCGAATAAGAATTGAAATTGAAATAAATATATCAAATTAGACCATGTTTCTTCAATTTCTTTTGGTTCATCGGCAGGGTGGGGGTGATAACCATAGGCCTTAATATAATTTTAACAGCAGAAACCACATATTTTTGACTGACTAACCTTCTAATTTCATCCTCCAAGGCGGGAAGAGGAGAAAATAGGCAAGCAGGGTCGACATTTCCTTGTATACTAATATCACTTCCAAGGCGCTTCCTTCCATCCGCCATATCCACTGTCCAGTCAAGACCAATCACGTCAACTCCAGTTCCCTTCATCCGTTCAAGTAGTCCACCATTTCCATTAATGTAGAGCACAATTGGTGTTTGAGGGCACTTCTTTTTAACCACACTCACCATCTGCACTCACAGACTAGGAGGTGTTCAAAAAGGAAAAGCTGGAACTTTGAGATTGCGTGCAACAACAGATAAAGCAACAGCTTCCATACCAAGTATGTTCCAGCTATATAAATAAAACATAAAATACAATAATGAAGAAGATGATGACGACAATAATAGTGACAGCAAAGAAGTTCTCATTTTGAGGTATCCCTTGTTTTAAGATTCTAAGACCTCCTACATCAAGCAACTTATCTGCTAACTCTTTATCTCTGGCTTGTTGATCCAAAAAAAACTCAGAAGACCTAAGAATATAACCCATGTTTCCTGAGTGAACAAGACAGTAATTCTCCATATGACTAAACTGCAATAAGAATGGAGCATGCACATCTTAATGTGTGCAAGTGATTATAATCAAACCTGAATGTCAGTATCAGCCAGGCTTCTCAAGTTTAGAGTAACAAGCACATTACGGGAAGAAGCTCAACAGGACAGTGAACTTTCCCATAGAGCTCCTCAGTTCCACAAACTGTCCACCCGGGTTTCCCAAAGCACTGAGGAAAAGGAAGAAGTACGAAAACCTGAACACAGGGTTGGGACAGAAAATAGTTAACCAGGAAAAAAAAACAATGTAAATTTGAGTTACCTCAACAATGTAAGGCTTAGACCAGCGTTCCCACATATCAGGTGGCAATTGCCCACCCCATGAATTGAAAATTTTGTCATGTCACGGTTTTGCTTGAATGATTTCTCAGTATGCATTACATTCAATTTATAGAATAGTAAAAAGTTATACAAGGAAAGATTTGATAATATACACTCAATAATATCCCTGATTCTATGCGACCTATAAATGGAAACTAAATTGAATAGTGAATATTCCGTTGATACCCCCCCTCAAATTGATGCAGGTGAGTCCACAAACATTAATTTGCTGATAAGAAAGTTATGACGATGGCGACTCAAGGATTTTGGTGAAGATATCGGCGACCTGGTGAGCAGTGGAAACATGGGGAAGGGCAATGACTTTGGAATCTTAGGCATCCCGGATGTAGCGACAGTCCACTTCAATATGTTTGGTCCATTCATGAAACACGGGATTAGCTGCAATCTGAATAGCACTAGTATTGTCACCATGGAGGGGAGTAGGCTGGGACTGAGAAACACCAAGTTTTGCAAGAAGACTCCGCAACCACACAATCTCATAACAGACAGCTGACATAGGAAGATATTCAGCCTCAGTAGAAGACTTAGACACACATTCATGCTTCTTACATTTCCAAGAAATGAGACCAACACCTAGGAAACCACACCACCCAGTAGTAGAACGATGAGAATCAGGACACCCAGCCCAATCAACATCACTTAAGCGGTGAGCTCAAGAGATGTTCCCCCAGGGAAGAACAGACCTCGATGAGGAGTCACAATAAGGTACCGAATAATGAGACGAATAACTCCCAAATGTAGACGACGAGGAGCATCCATAAATTTGCTAACAGTATGAACGGCGAAGGAAATATCAAGACGTGTGAAAGTGAGATAGATAAGACTTTCCACCAACTTCCGATATAGAGTAGGTTCCGAAAGAATGTCGCCTTTATTTTTACGATATTTAACATTAAGCTCTAATGGAGTATCAACAGAGGAGACTTCAGATAAATTAGCCAATCTAATCAAGTCCTGAATATACTTATGTTGATTCAAGAAGATACCATGTGGCGTTGTGTGGACTTCCAATCCAAGGAAATAAGTGAGATGACCCAGATCTTTCATATGAAACACCAATTGAAGGTGCTTCTGAAGTCTCTGAATAAGGACGTGATCAGATCCAGAAATAATAATATCATCCACATACACTAACAAATAAACAATCCCATTTGAACTTTTATGAAGGAATAGAGATGTGTCATACTGACTCTAAGTAAATGAAAAATCCAGAAGAGTGCAGCGAAACTTGTCAAACCATGCCCTAGGAGCCTGCTTAAAACCATACACAGAGCGTTTAAGTTTACAAACAGAATGTGCTGATGGAAGAGGCATACCGGATAGAAGTTTCATATAAATATCTTACTTAAGATCTCCATATAGGAACGCGTTCTTTACAACCATTTAATGTAAAGACCATGAATCGGAAACGGCAAGAGACAACAGAAGACGTACAGTAGTCATTTTAGCAACCGAAGCAAATGTCTCATCATAGTCTATCCCATATTCTTGACGGTTACCTAAAGCAACCAGTCGAGCCTTATAGCATTCAAGCGAACCATCAGAACGAAGCTTGACAGAGTATACCCATTTGCTCCCAATGGGCTTCACAGTCGGTGGACAGGGAACAACAACCCAAGTTTGGTTGGCCTCAAGAGCCTCAAGTTCTGCTGTCATCGCCTGTCGCCAACACTCTTGCTCTATGGCCTGTTTGTAGGAGGAAGGAATAGAAATCGAAGTAAATGTAGTAGACATAGAACTATGGGAGGAAAAACCATACATATCTGGTGGTCGAAGCACACGAGAAGTATGAGAAGAGGAAGTGGCAGGTCATCCGGTGAAGGATTTGTTGTCGATGGAGGATCGGGGAGGCGTGGGAGAGTAGTAGGCTGAGAAAGAAGCTCGGAACCGGTCGTTGGCGCAACCTCCCTGCTAGTGTAAACATACCCTGGCTTGTACCGCAAGAATTGTGTGGGAAAATCTGGTAAAATAGAAAACATGGGAGAAACCACAACCTCGAAAGTCAAGAATAATTGTTTTTCAAAGAAAACTACATTACGGGAAATACGGAGTCGTTGTCTTGTAGGATCATAACAAATATACCCTTTCTGGGTTCCACCATATCTTAAAAATGTACACTTGATAGATTGAGGAGTGAGTTTAGTCCGTTCATGAGATTGTAAATGAACAAATCACATACAGCTAAAAGGGCAGAGATGGAAATATGTGGGATGATGACCAAAGAGCTTATAAAATGGAGAAACATTAGTAAGGGTGGGAGAAGGTAACCGATTGATAAGATACACGGCAGTAGATAATACTTCATACTAGAAACGAGATGGAACAGAAGATTCAATCAGAAGAGCGCGAACCATATCAAGAAGATGGCTATTTTTCCGTTCCGCTACCCCGTTTTGTTGAGGAGTAGAAGGACAAGATCGCTGAGAGATAATACTTTTGGATTGTAAAAAAGATTGAAATGTATTGGACATATATTCACCCCCAAAATCAGATTTTAAGATTTTGATTGAGGAGGAAAACTGATTGTCAATAAAAGCAAGAAAAGCTTGAAAGACAGAAAAAACCTCACTTTTTGCACGAAGAAAGTAAACCCATGTGAATCGACTAAAATCATCGATAAACGTAACAAAGTATTTATAATGAGCATGAGACCTCACATGTGCAATTCTTCATACATCACTGTGAACAATATCGAAAATACGCAAAGCACGAGAACCTTGAGATGAGAATGGCAAAACTTTACTTTTAGCAACTTTACATGAAGCACAATCAAGGAAGACAGATGAAACTGAAGCAAAATTCTTATTACCAAGTAAACCAGAATTTAACAAATGTTGCAACACATTAGTATTTGGATGTCCCAATTTCTTATGCCAATCAAAAACATCTAAAGTAGCAGAATTACAAAAACAAGTTGGCCAACCAAAAGCAAAAAAAGATATAGTGCAATCGTTATCAACAAGTTGACCAGCAGATAGAAGATTAGTGAGCGAGATTCTTGAGAAAAATTTGCCAAGTCAAACTCCAACTGGAACGAGCTGACTTATAGGGCCTGAGATTAAGAACAATATTAGCCTCAATCGTACCGATAATACATGCCATAATTCGAGAATCCTTGATTTTTCAGGCAAGATACTTCTCTTTGTCCTTCTCTTGATCAGGAGGCGAAATGCTTCCATCAAAGTCCATGACGAGTAGTTTTTCCCATTAAAACGTGTTATAGATTGTAATTAATTCTAGATTCCTTTTTTACATACTTTCCTAAGATAGTTTCCTAGGTTTTGTGTATATATATATATNATATATATATATATATATGTGTGTGTGTGTGTGTGTGTGTGTCGTCTATTCCAACGGAGTAATGAGAAGAGAATATTTTCCAATCTTTCTCTAATTCACACGGTATCAGAGATCTAACCTTTTTCTCGAGTGTGTGGTTGATCTTCATACACAATTGACGTCAATTGCGGTGGGTGCTCTTGGGTTTTCGGACGGTCGCTTCTCAGTGGCTTGATCTTTGTAGTATTGGTGTGATCTTCGTAATTTTGGGTCTTGGTTGGAGCAATCATTTTGTTCCACCGTCGGTGGGTAGTGTCGGCGTCTGTATGTGAAGTGTTTTTCCATTATCTATGCGACCTCATCAAGAGTGGGCTATTAGGGTGCTGCAGAGTCTGTGTTCGGCATTCTCCACCGTCGAAGAGATTGGAGTCCGGTTGGTGAATCAATTGATTTGGGCTATGACTGTTTTAGATTTTATTTTGGTATGGCCTTTGGTAAGATCAATTGATTTGGGCTGTGATTGTTTTGGATTTTATTTTGTTAGTAAGGTGGACTGGGCTAGTTATTTACTAGGCCTATATTTATGGTTTAATTAGGCTCACTATTATTGGTTGTTGGGCCAGATCTATATTTATTTGGGTCTAAGTTATTTGTGATTATTTTGATTGTTGGCTTGTTGGGCCTTTTTGGGTTTACTGCCTTGTATCTCTGCTTCAAAGTTATGGCTAAAAAGGAACCCATTGTTGCATCAGATATGGTCCCTGTGATGTCCAAAATCACGGACCATAAACTTAATGGCTCCAATTATTTGGATTGGAGCAAGACTGTTCGATTTTATCTACGGAGTATTAGCAAAGATACTCATTTGATTGACGATCCTCCTACAGATGATTCAAAACATACGTAGCTTAGGGAGGATGCTCGTTTATTCCTGCAAATTCGAAATTCCATTGATGGTAAGGTAATTGGCTTGATCAATCACTATGAGTTTGTTAAAGAGTTGATGGATTATTTGCATTTCTTGTATTCTGGTAAAGGGAACATTTCTCGCATATTTGAGGTATGCAAAGCATTTTACCGTGCAGAAAAACAAGATAAGTCTCTTACGAATTATTTTATGGAATTTAAGAAGACTTATGAGGAGCTTAATATGTTACTACCTTTTAGCCCGATATAAAGGTTCAACAACGTCAACGAGAGCAAATGGATGTCATGAGTTTTCTTGCTGGCCTTTCCTCCGATTTTGAGACTGCTAAGTCATAAGTTCTCTCTAGTTCTGAGATCTCATCTTTAAAAAAGGTATTTAGTCGAGTACTCCGCACTGAAGGTACTCCACCTGTTCAAATCAGTGGTGCTCTGGTCAGTTGAAATAATAATTATGAGCCTGGGAGATCAACCAATCAACGTGGAAACAATGGAGGCAGTTTGCAAGGGTTTGAAACTCGAACACAAGTTTCTGGAGGAATTGTGTGTTATTACTGTCACAAGCCAGGACATACGAAATATGATTGTAGAAAGCTCCAGTATAGGACTCAGAAAGCTTATTCGGCCCATGTTGCGTCCACTAATGAGACTTCTAAAAAGTCAATTATTCTCTCTGCAGATGAATTTGTCAAGTTCTTACAGTATCAAGAATCACTAAAGTCTTCTTCTCCTCTGTCACCGCTATTACTGATTTAGGTAAACAAATACATGTTTTATTTCCTCATCTTCCAAATGGTTATTGATTCTGGAGCCACGAATCATATGACAGGTAATTCTGGACTTTTTTCTACTTTTCAGCCACACACTTCCACTTCTACCGTTACTCTAGCCGATGGGTCACCATCTTACGTTCGTGGGTCTAGCACAATTATACCTACCTCTCTGCTTTCTTTGTCATCTATCTTACATTTAACTAATTTATTCTTTAATTTGATCTCTGTAAGCCAACTTACCCGCACTCTTAATTGTTGCATCTCATTTTTTCTGATCATTGCTTATTTCAGAATCTTATTACGAAGATGATTATTGGTAAAGGACATGAGTCTGAAGGCCTATACATTCTTGACACACTAATACCTTAATCAGTTGCTTACTCTGGTGTCACATCTCCCTTCGAGACACATTGTAGATTGAGTCATCCATCTCTTCCTTTGCTTAAGAAGCTTTGTCCGCGGTTTAGTAAGGTGTCTTCTTTAGATTGTGAGTCGTGTCAATTTGCTAAATACCATCGTCTTAATTCGAGTCCTAGAATTAATAAACGTGCTAGTGTTCCTTTCGAATTAGTTCATTCTGATGTTTAAGGTCCTTGTCATATTTTATCTAAACCTAGTTTTAAGTATTTTGTTACCTTTGTAGATGATTATTTTTGTGTCACTTGATTATATTTAATGAAAAGTCAATCTGAGTTGTTTTCTCTTTTTTGTGCGTTTTGTGCTGAGATTAAGACTCAATTTATTGTTTCGATCCGTACTTTGCGAAGTGATAATGCCAAAGAATATACATTCGCTATATTTCAATCTTATATGGTTCAAAATGGCATGCTTCATGAAACTTCTTGCGTTGATACTCCATTTGAAAATGGAGTGACAGAAAGAAAAAACAGACATCTTCTTGAAACACACGAGCCCTATTATTTCAAATGCATGTTCCCAAACCTTTTTGGGCCGACACAGTTTCTACAGTATGTTTTCTAATTAATCGTATGACATCCTCTGTTCTTCATGGTGAGATCCCTTACGAAATCCTTTTTCTCAATAAGTCATTGTTTCCAGTTGAACCTAAATCTTTGGTATCACTTATTTTGTTCGAGGTGTTCGTCCGCATGTAACCAAATTAGATCGTAAGTCTTTGAAGTGTATATTCCTTGGTTATTCTCGTCTTCAGAATGGTTATAGATGTTATTGTCATAGTCTTAACAAATATCTTGTCTCTATTGATATTATCTTCATGGAAGACACCCCATATTTTCCATCTTCTCCCCCTCCCCCCCCCCCCCCCCCTCC